GGCCTATTTTGGGACTCCTCAGCAGTACGCATCTACGAAACCACTCGCAAGATTCGAACCTAAGTCCTTTGGTCTCGCGCTTAGCCTCTAAACAACTGAGCCAGTCGGCATCCAGCGGTGTTAATATCCAACCTCAACCAATTCACGAAATTGAGTAATCATCTTCTATTGTTCCGAGTTAGATACCTATCTCTACCTGACATGGATTAGCTCCACTGGTCATGACTTCTCACTGGAACTCTGGAAATTCCCTCATGAAGCTAGTCACTAATGAGCACATGGTAATTGTCAGTATAAGGTTGTGGAGATCCTGAGACTGGGATCACTGATGCGCATTGCTGAGGAGTCCCACAATAGAACGAAAGGGCGGTCCAGTGCTTCCAGATTTTCCATGATGATCTAACTTCAATTGATTCATGATTCCAACTTTTGAAATTACTGAAATCTCCACAACACCCTTTCCAAGAATCTACTGTAATTAAAAATCAAAATCAAGTACAAAAGAGTCATTAAGTTCATGCAAACACCACATTTACTCAACTTAAAGATTATTATTTTTCTGAATAGTTCTCATGAATATCAATTTTCTAAAGAGTTAAAGTAATGAGATTCTTAAAGAACTATTATTGTCACCATATTAATATATGAGTACGGTTATAATGGTCGAAGTTTCCTCGTCCACACAAATAGAAAGTTAATTTGCCTTAGACGAATATCTACACTAGATTCTCTACCAGTATCTATTCTACAGAACTTCAACACAACTCAAATCAAGAACATGTGATTAGTCTGACTAGAACGTAAATATATTTCCACACCAAAAGCCAATGCATTGAAGTCACTAACTTCTGGTCTGAGCCATGTTAGTAGATGCAGACTACTTGGTTGGGCTCCACGTGACTATCATAACCAATGGTTGAAGACTCTGAATGACATGTCTCAGGACCAATCACAATGGTGTCAGTTTATATACTCTCTATCTTCTCCTAAACTATGAGATTAAAATCGCTTCAAATCTTTCTTTCTACCAAATAATTCTTTCTTCTTGTACTATATCCTTATATGCAATCTTTCTTTTATATATTACCATCATTGAATTAACTACTTTTATGAATTTGTTGTTCATGTTATTGTGCTAATGAGGTATGGCAACTTGGACCGATGCATAGATGTGTCTGGTCCTACGTTGTAGCTGATTGACAACAATCAGTGATAATTATTGATAAAGATAATGGAATATATATAACTCATTTAACACTTATCAGACTATCTACAAGTTTAATTAAGCAAATAATCAATCATGATCATCCTGACCCATCTATCAAGATTCCTATTACAACAGTTTCTACTTTATTCCATCAAAACACTGATCAAAAAGAGTTTACCATAAAGAAAATAAATTGGGATAAAAACTAGTTAGTTTACATGTTTTGTAAAATCGATATCTGAAAAACGGATCAATTAATATCATCTATACTGTCCTTTCCTTCAATTGTTATATGTTATGCTTAGATTCTTATGATACTGAGTATAACTTGAGCACTCGAACGCTAGGACCCTCCAAGTCACAAATGAGAAGATAGAAAACAAGTCAGTCAGTCAGTCAGCTGCAACGTAGGACCAGGCACGTATATGCATCGGTCCTAGTTGCCATACCGCATTAGTACAACAAGATGAACACCGGATTCATAGAAGTAGCTAATTCAGTGGTGGTAATATATAGAAGAAAGATTGTGTATAAGGCTATAGTACAGGAAGAAAGAATTAGTTGGTAGAAAAAAAGATTTGAAGTGATTTTAATCTCATAGTTTAAGGGAAGATAGAGAGTATATAAACTGACACCATTGTGATTGGTCCTGAGACATGTCATTCAGAGTCTTCAACCATTGGTTATGATAGTCACGTGGAGCCCAACCAAGTAGTCTGCATCTACTAACATGGCTCAGACCAGAAGTTAGTGACTTCAAGCACTGATGCCACGTTTTGGTTTGGCCGCCCCTAACTTTCTTCCAATTATCCCCTACACTAGTCAGCATTGCGCGTCGTGGTAATCGGTGTTCAGGCATACGCAGAACGTGGCCTAACCATCTTAGTCGATGAAGATTCATAACCTTATCAACTGATTTACCATCATTCCCTAGTACCCTGCGTCTAACCTCACTATTACTTACCCGGTGATCCCAGCAAGTGAACGGAGTTGTATTCCAAAACAGTGTCAATTATAATACAAAGTTGTCAGATATTGATAGTTTTTAGTAAGAACAAAATAATTGTTATAGTCCTCTAATTCACATACAGGGGATTCTTACCATTTGTCCAATAGAGAAGCTACATGTAGAGATTCTGGAATATTCTTCCAAATGATAATTGGATGGAACATATTCAGCTCTTTCTGATCTTCTCAGAGCTTTCACGAGTTTATTCAAAAACCCTTAGATGATTTATTCTCTATAACTATAGATATATCACTACATTAGGAACTAGAAAGTTCCAACAAATTGTAGCATGAATAGCCTTTGGTTTCTTTAATCATGATCTATATTATTGTAATGTAAAATATGATAAGTTTAGAATTAAGTATTCAGAAACAGTTTCTTAGTCAATAAGTATTCAATAAGTGTTGTTTTACTTGTATCTTCTCCTTGTTATTTAAGATTGAAATTGATCAGTCTTTCTGTTAGAAATAAACTGGGATCATCTGAAAAAAAAATCAATATTTATTGATCGAAACGATTAGTTTGTTTATTGAATGTTTATCGCTAAAGTTACAACTAATCTAAGAGTAAAGAAGAAAAAGAAGTAAACATTCTTAAAAAAAATTTAATTCTATTTTAGCGAACATCATTAGTAATGATCCATGACCTGATATTAAGTAGAGATCATTTGTTGAAGAGAGCGAAACAAAACGAAATGACGAGCTTCCAGGTTTTCTATGTTGATGTAGCTTTAATTGACTCATAATCTTAACTAGTAAAATTATTATCTTAATGTTGATTTATTCAAGTTTTAACCTATGTCTTATATGGAAACAGTGAATCAACTTTTTATTATTCTGATCCCTAGTGTGGTGTATGCTACTCATATTGACAAAAATAAGTAGTATGTAAAACCAATCAGAAGTGATAAAGATCATGAGCCGATTGATGTTAGACCATCATTGAAAACCTGGAAGCATCGGACGGCCGGTTCGTCTTATTATGGGACTCCTCAGCAGTGCGCATCCACAATCCCAATCGCAGGATCCGAACCTGAGGACCTTCAGTCCCGCGTGCGAGCACTTAACCACTAAACCACTGAGCCGGCCAGCATTCAATAGTGTTAATGTCTAACTTCAACTAATCCACGAAATCGAGTGACACATCCACCATTGTCTTCAGTGAGTTACTATCTCACAACAGACCTGGTTGAACTCCACTGGTCACTACTTCTCACTAGAACTCCAGAATATACCTCATGGAGACCATCACTAGTGAACATATATTGATTAATATCAGATAGGTTTTGTGGATATTATAGTAATTTCAATGGTTAAGATTATGGATGCCAGCTCAGTGGTCTAGTGGTTAAGTGCTCGAGCGCAATACTGAAGGTCCCAAATACGAATCCTGCGAGTGAGATCGTAGATGCACACTGTTGAGGAGTCCCACAATAGGACGAAATGATCGTCCAGTGATTCCAGATTTTCTATGATGGTCTAGCTTCAATTGACTCATGATCTTAATCATCGAAATTCAATATATCATTATTTTTATTATGAAACATATTTCGAAAAAACAAACAAAACAAAGAAACATTCAAGATTTTGATTAAAAAACATAATATTTGTAGACATTCTAATATTCCCGATTGTTTTGTTGTTTTGTTTTTTTTTTGTTGTTGTTGTTATGTCAAGGTCAATATTGAACCAATCAGGAGTTAATGAATGTATTATGTTTTCAATTGATTGTACTTCTAATGTAAAATTACAATAATACACTACAATAGAATAAAGTAAGTTATAATATGTATAAATGAATAAATAAGGTCAATCATATAGAATATTCGAGTGTTGTTATTGTTGTTGTTGTTGTTGTAGTTTTGTTTTGTTTTGAAAAAAAAAACAAACTACACGGTTACATTCTTGAATGTTCCTTATTGAATGAACTGAATGAGTTCAAGTTGAATTATGGTAAATTGAAAGAGAAAGAGAAATCATTTGAATTCATGGTAATTTATACTTATTATGAAATTAGATCTATTAATGTTGATCCATTAACTTGTAGATTAGATCTTTAGATCAAAAGCTAATGGTTTTAATCAACCGAGCAATATCATAGTTTTAAATTTCTTACTTTATATTTTATTATTTCAGTAGTTGAAATTATAAGTCGACTGAAGCTAGATTACTATGGTAAACCTGGAAGAAGTGAATGGCCTCTCTTCAACAATGCACATCTATGATCCTACCTTTCAAGGTTTGAACCCAGGACCTATAGGTAAGAATAATGTTTTTGGTTAATGGTTGAGATAAGTTGTGGTTGATTTTTAAGTGCCATTATTAATGTTAAATGCATATGATACATTCAATACTTCTAGACATTTATTTGTCCATTTCATGGTGAGACTATAATTTATGAACGAACCAATCACGTATAAGATGACAGGTTTCGGATTTCGGCGCTAAATTCACTCATCTATTTGGCTAAATAGAATTTCCGTATTATAGCTGATGTCACTTCATGATGAAAACCTCCTAAATCTAATTCCTAACGTTAACCGCCAACTGTAAATCATAATACTAATTCATCACACACAGGTTTATAATCCTCATTTAGTCTTAGTTATCAGGTGAACATTCTTAAGGACAGTTAATCGTCACTCCTAGGTTGTCCATAATTTATAATCTTACCAATTAAGATTATAGTTATACATAGATAAATAGAGGATATTTTTATGTCTGAAATCACACCTTATTTGAATAATAGATTCAATTATTTATTACATATTGATTACAATAATGTCTAGAACTGTGGACTTATAAAGTAATAAAATATACGTTTATCAATGAGAATGGTAATAATCATTATTTGTACTATCATCGTATGATTATCAGTTCTGCGAATAGTAGTAGTAGTAGTAGTAGTAGTAGTAGTAGTAGTATTGGTAGTAGTAGTAGTAGTAGTAGTAGTAGTAGTAGTAGTAGTAGTAGTAGTAGGAGTAGTAGTAGTAGTAGTAGTAGTAGTACTAGTAGTAGTATTACTATTAGTAGTAGTCGCAGTAGTAGTAGTATTAGTATTATTGGTAGTAGTCGTAGTAGTAATATTACTATTAATATTAGTATTAGTAGTTGTCGTTGTCATAGTAGTAGTAATAACAGAATGAGAATATTCATCATACTTACTGGAACCGGTTCTGTATGTTGTCTAAAAATTGTCATGTTTACTTGAAATCATGACCCAACTAATATTAGGTAACCATTGAAAACTTAAAAAATATTGAATGGTTATTTTGTCCTAGTATAGAACTCATCAGGTGGTCGTGTAATATTGTGAGCTGATTAAAGTTTGATATTAACACCGTTATATGTTGGATTAGTGATGTAGAAACTAAGCATTTACGCGCGACACCGAATATTCTGGGTTCGATTCCTATGTGTGGAGTTGTAGATGAACATCAGTGAGTAGTTTCATACAAGAATTAAGCAATTGTCCAGTGCTTCCAGGTTTAAAATGGTTGTCTAACTTAGATTAGGTTATGATTTCAATGAAATTCAACAGTCTTCACAACTCTACTTACAAACCACGTCAAATTTGTCAATCTAATTTTCTTGATGGTTGTGCTGTCGTAATGTACACAGTTTCATTGCCTATGGAATATTCTAGTCTAAAATTATACAGTAAATTGAGATCTTAGAATTTCGGAACCACAAATTTCCTAGACATACACATTTTCTCATAAAGCTTCTTATTGTAAAATGTTTTGATTCACTAATTATGTGTGTCATTTCAGTGCACTAATACATTTCTTACAAATTCTTTCTGAGATAGTATCTCACTGATGACAATGGTGAATGTGTCACTCAATTTCGTGGATTAGTTGAAATTAGACATTAACATCATAGGATACTGGTGGGCTCAGTGGTCTAGAGGTTAAGTGTTGACGCATGAGAGCGATAGGTGTTGGGTTCAAATCTCAAGAGGCGAGATTGTGGATGCGCTCTGTTGAGGAATTCCATACTAGGACGAAGCGGCCATCCAATGCTTTCAGGTGCTCCATAACGGTCTAGATCCAATTGACTCATGAGTTCAACTATGAAATTACTAAAGTCTCCACAAAACCCCTTCTGATAAACCTATCGTAAGTCTTATAAAGAAGCATGTACCTAAAGGTCTACATGAGATCAAGTTCAAATGCTTCAAGTCACTCAATAAACCCACTAACTTTCTCATCATTGAACATGTTCTATCACAATTATCTAACTAAGATCAGTTCGTGATGAACTCATAATACTGATCATTATTGATTATCAGCTTTTCTGTTTTGAATAGGTCAAATCAAAGCTGATATTGGATGATCATTATGTTTTATGATAAAAAATTTTATTGATTCTTGACTAAAAAAAATTTTTTTTTCGGTTTTGATAAGTTCTACAAATAATTTTAATGATTAAAATTATAAGTCAATTGAAGCTAGACCACCATCAAAAACATGGAAGCAATGGATGGCAGAATTGTGGATGTGCACTACTGAAGAGTCCTATACTAGGACGAAACAGTTGTTTAATGTTTCCAAGTTTTTCATGATAGTCTAACTTTATTTAACTGATAAATTGAATTATTAAATTATCAGAATAGTGTCTTTAAAGTGATTCTTATCATGTACAATTGTTCTAGTTGAAAAATGAGTAGAATAACTTACCGTTAACTACAGTTAATATATAACCTGGCAACTACAAATTCTCATTTTATCGATCTAATAATGAATTTGATCTTGTATGATATCTAAGGTGTTTTCATTTGTAATCATCGATAATAATTTATAATGAAAACTTACTTTAAACTAAAATGATCTATGACATTATATTAAATGTTGAATATAGAATAGAAGAACTTCTCCTGGAGTCCCTCTAGAGGCTACTGCCGGTTCTAAGCCCGGATAAAGGAGAAGGGTTTGTCATGGGGTTAGCGACCCCATCCTGTAGAAAACTAACTTGCTAAAATAAAAAAAACGTTAACCACTAATAGAATAGAAGATTGAAGTTAGAATTCAATCATATTGTACATGAAACATGTAACTTATAGGTTGACTTCTATATCAAAATGGTTATGATGAATTACTGAAAAGTCATAGAAAAAGGATGAAACTATTCCTATTAGAATCGTTTAGTTTTCAGTAGTTCTTTACATCTATCACCTCACAATTTTTAGTTTGATTAAGTTTCCAAATATAATCATTGTACTAGATCAAATATCTATTATAGATTATCGATCAGAATTACAATTATAAAATAAACTTAGACATAAAATACATACTGTAGTGTGTACTACTTAGGTAGACATAAGTAGTATATGATATTAGTTGCGAACAGAATGTCTGATAGCAGAGAGTCAAGAAGATCGAACAATAAAGAATGAAAACAGTATGCAATTTGTATGAAAATGAAAGAACAAACGAAATCTGAGGTCGTTTTGAGACAATTGATGGACATTTTGCAAATTGACTATTTACTATAGGATTGTTAGATTTTAGTAAGTAGTTCTGTAATTGTTCTTCACCCATGTTCTGTTCACCATAACACAACTTAATTATCATTAAACCAACCTGTATGAGTTGTGTATTAAGCATGGTCACGTCTGAATGGAAATTTTGGAAGTAACATCGACGGATATTTACACTTAGTAGTGTTTTAATTAATTTATGAATGTATGTTATGTCATTTAATTTATCAATCATTATTCTACATTACTAACTTACGCCTGTTATCTCTTGTAGAAGAGTATAGAACGCCAACCAGTACTCACCATTCAACACTGTTCTGAGCAAAACTTTCTAGTTCTTTCCAGTTGTTGTTTATCCTATTCATATCTGATTCCAATTGTCAACGTAGTGTGTTATTCAACATTCTAATTTTACTTTTCTATTCAGGATTCTAAGTTAAGTCTTGTCTCGTGATATAGTTTGATGATTTCCTCAATGTATGTCATATCCACTTAAAACGTCATTTCTTAAATTCCTATTCAGTTGGAAGCTGGTTTGTCCTCTCTCACATGAATGTGTTGCTGATGGTATCCGTTCAACCGATGTTGAGCATCTTGCGTAGACAACTGTTTATAAATACTTGTACCTTCTTGATGGTGGTTGTAGTAGTTCTCCAAGTTTCAGCTCCGTACAGTAGAACTGCCTTGACGTTCGTATTGAGGATTGTGACTTTGATATTAGTTCACAGTTGTTTTGAGTTCCATATGTTCTTCAGTTGAAGGAATGCCGCTCTAGCTTTGCCAATCCTCGCATTGACGTCTGCATCTGAACCTCCTTGTTTATCGATGATGCTTCCCAGGTATGTGAAGGATTTTACATCTTTCAGAGTTTCTACATCAAGAGTGATTGGATTGCTGTTCTCCGTGTTGTATTTGAGGACCTTGGTTTTCCCCTTGTGTATGTTGAGGCCTACTGATGAAGAGACTGCAGCTACACTGGCTGTCTTTATCTGCATTTGTTCGCGTGTATACGATAGGAGGGCTACGTCGTCTGTGAAGTCCAAATCTTCTAATTGAATTTGATGTGTCGATTGTATTCAAAAAATAGTTTTTTAAGACATCTGTCTTAATGAGTGAATACTAGTAGTTTTTCCCGACCTGAACCAACAATTCATTACACGTTTAATCAATATTTGAATTAAAGTCATAGAAATCTTATGAATTCACTAATGGGAACGAATTTTTGGATAATTTTCAATGAAAACAACATATGTTAGTAACTGATGATGAATTCCTTATGTTTAAATCAATTCTGATCAATCGATATGTAAGCGAAAAATTAACGTATTAAAGTGATAGTCCCTTTACTTACAATTCTAAATGGTGCATACTCCAGTTTCTATGTGAACAATTTCATTTGCTTATGATATGTTTTAGAAATAGATAAACAGCAGAGAAAAGAACATTATTGAATCTTCTTCGACACTATGGAGTTTCTGAGAAGATTGACAACATTATCCGGAACTGATACGACGGACTACAGTGCAAAGTAGTTCATGAAGGACATCTGACAGATACATTCCAAGTAAGGGCCAGAGTCAGACAAGGCTATCTACTCTCTCCCTTCCTCTTTCTTCTGTTGGTCGACTGGATTATGAAGATCTTGACATCAGAGGGAAAACACGGCATACAATCGACACATCAGATTCAATTAGAAGATTTGGACTTCGCAGACGACGTAACCTTCCTATCGCATACACGCGAACAAATGCAGATAAAGACAGCCATTGTAGCTGCAGTCTCTTCATCAGTAGGCCTCAACATACACAAGGGGAAAACCAAGGTCCTCAAATACAACACAGAGAACAGCAATCCAATCACTCTTGATGGCGAAACTCTGAAAGATGTAAAATCCTTCACATACCTGGGAAGCATCGTCGATAAAAAGGAGGTTCAGATGCAGACGTAAAGGTAAGGATTGGGAAAGCAAGGGCAGCATTCGTTCAATTGAAGAATATATGGAACTCAAAACAACTGTGAACTAATATCAAAGTCACAATCCTCAATACGAACGTCAAGGCAGTTCTACTGTACGGAGCTGAAACTTGGAGAACTACTACAACCACCATCAAAACGGTACAAGTATTTATAAACAGTTGTCTACGCAAGATGCTCAACATCGGTTGAACGGATACCATCAGCAACACATTCATGTGAGAGAGGACAAACCAGCTTCCAACTGAATAGGAATTTAAGAAATGACGTTTTAAGTGGATATGACATACATTGAGGAAATCATCAAACTATATCACGAGACAAGACTTAACTTAGAATCCTGAATAGAAAAGTAAAATTAGAATGTTGAATAACACACTACGTTGACAATTGGAATCAGATATGAATAGGATAAACAACAACTGGAAAGAACTAGAAAGTTTTGCTCAGAACAGTGTTGAATGGTGAGTACTGGTTGGTGTTCTATACTCTTCCGCAATGGATAACAGGTCTAAGTTTCTAAAAAATCGTTAGATTCTTTCATTCTTATATATCACTGACATATTATCCTTTTATTATCAGACAGAATATATCAGTCTCAATTTTCATATTTGCTTGAAACTTATAGTATTTCAACAAATAACTGACCTATGATCAGTTTATTTCAT